GTAAAGCATGGGCTTCCGCAGATGAGAGCGCCATAGTTGATTTTGATGTTGCAGCGACCTGTTTTCGTCGAGTTGTTTTGATCGAGTTGCGAGTGCATATGTGAGTTCATCCGTTTCCATTCTAGGCCGTACGGGGGGAGGGGGGATAAGTTGTGGATTAGGCATAGATGGCGATGAAACAGGTGGTTGAAGACCGATTTTGACAGTGGATGGTTTGTATGAGTCTGATCAGCGCGTGGTTCCTTCCATTTTTGATGAATTTTTGGAATGTGGATGTGAACTCTGTATCCACCCCCTCCTTGATGTGTTTCGGGATGCGGATCTATGATGTTGTATTGCGCGAGGTGTGACTTGTTTAGATTCATATTGCAACCATAAATTGTGGCCGGTGCACATCTATCAGGACTCGTTCACTAAAGTTACCACTGGAATCGTTATGTGTTACCACGAAATTCATGCTAGGTCACATGCTTCAGATACAACTTATTGCATAATGTTTTTTCCAAGTCCTTTTTTGCTTGTCATTACCACTGATTTTTGTTAGCGGTTACCCTGCAACCCCTCTGTGGTCCACTTGTTTTTATATCTAGCATTCTGTTTGATTTTTGCCATGTCTTATTACTTCAAACTAGCACTTGAATTGTTAAGTTGTTGCCATTTTAATTACTCTAGCTGCATTTTCAAATCACGCATATGTCTCAGTATCTATTTTTAATGAGATTTTAAGAAAGTTATCATGGCTGGTAAGTTATGGCTATCAGTCCCATTCATACAAGTTACCAGACTTTTTGTTTTGTTATCTCATTGGTTGTTGTGTCTTCCAATTCACCTTCTGTAACTCCTTACTTGTCAGTCCTTTAATATTATTTTGTTTCTCAAGGGCACGATGCCAAGGAAGCGCAAAGGATCTGGTGATGGCCATGAGGGTGTTCCTTTAAAAAAGCCGAAGCGCCCTCCACCTCGGAACAGGGCTTGCTGGGTTATACGAGCCAGACTCTCGTGAAGTGGTTGTTCCAGGGCGTGGGAGGATCCCTGTTAACAAAGAGTCCGTTCATCGTGTGATGGGTGTGCCTCGTGGTGGGGAAGATGTCCCTTACAGTCTGCCCACAGAAGTTGATATTGAGTTAGGGATTGAGATGTTTGGTGAGCTTGGCCACACTCCAAAAATGACTGATGTCCTTGATCTCATAACAAGTTCTGTCAATTATGATGAGAAGTTCAAGCGGATGTAGCTTATGCTTGTCGGCAATACTGTCATTGCTCCTACTACATCCAACAAGATCAGCCCTAGATGGTATGGTGTGCTGGTAAGTACTGGTAACTTATGTTACGTGGCTGATAACTTGCATCATGTTTACATGGTAACTGTATTGCTTTATATCATGTAGAATTTTTGTTCATTTACTTCCTTATTTTTTCAGCAAAACATTAATAGAGTCAAGGACTTGAACTGTTCCAAGTTCATTGCTGATGAGCTCCATAAGGCACTTTTGAAGGGGAGGCCTACAAAGGGGTGTCTTCTTTTCTACAATGTAAGCGTTGGTGCTTTTTTCTTTTCTTTTCCTGCTGTCTAGTTGTGTATTTCTGACATCAATGACTCTTTTTACCAGCTTCTGTACATTGATGCTATCGATCTTACTGGTCTTGGTATCTCATTGCCCGATGGTGCGTTTCCTATCAATGTTTGGACAAAAGAGAAGACATCTGAATTGCTTAGTATGGATGTCCAAGCGGACGGAATTTCTTACGACAAACTACCGGTAACTTTGTTTTTCTTTTCCTTCTAATCAGTTCATGTACTTACTGCAAATGCATTTGTTCTTTATACTTTTCTTTACTCATTTTCATTCTCAACAAATCACCAGTTGAAACCCTAGTTTGGCGTTGATTTCTGCTTGTTTGGCGGTTTACAAGGTCTTGGGAAGTTCATGCGTGTGCATGTCCCACCAAACTGCAGTGAAGAGGTATGCTTTTTTATTGTTTATATGTATTCTGGTAATTTGTAGCCTTTTTCTTTGCTGTTGATACATTTTTTGATGGTAACTAATGACTATGCAACCTTATAAGTGTTTTTGTATTACACATCTGGAATATTTTCTTCATTGCTGTTTTTATGTTGTGTTTTATGATGGTAACTTTTGTTGCATACACATGGTAATTTGTGTCTGTTTTACCTGATAAATCATGTTTTACCAATCTAATTTTTATTTTTTTAACTGTTGATAACTTGTGTTGTAATTGGTTGATACTTTCTGTTGCACTCGCATGATAACTTGAGTATGGAAATCCTGTCTATTCTTTTAATTCTCTTATGATCTCTTGTTTTGTCTGTTTTGTGTATTATTGTTTGCATCTAAAAAATAATGTCTGGTAACTAAAAGTGTTCCTTTTTGTCTCTATTGATCTATTATTAATGAGTAGAAACTTGCAAAGGCTTCGGAGCTCGTGGGTCGGTTTTCATCTGGCTTGGTTGGCATGCTTGGCGATTTTGTGCAAGGGTTCGTCTCACTTGATGATGAAGGCTGTTCACATGTGTCTCGTCGACTAGACACTGATCTTAGGGCGATTTCTTCTGCTACCCGGAATATAGCAAAGCCCTCTCCTGCACGCCGTACCCGTCAATCGGAGAGCCCTGGCAAGAATAATATGGATGAGTCTGATACTGACTGTGATACGGATGAAAACGACGGGGACGAATCTGATGATGGTGATGATGA